GGACTTGTGGCATGGGGGCCCCTGCCCAGCACCTTGGCCAGGAGCAAGAGGGCCACAGCTAGCCCATGGATGCAGAAGTAGACAGAGTGCCAATAGTGCACAGTGTCCTGGAAGGAAAGGAGCACAAAACCCATGCACATGTAATCATAGGCCCGCATCTTGAGGAACCACTGGACCCAGTCGCTGCCCAGGCGTCCCCGGGCTGACAGGCGCCCCCGCAGTGCTGCCTCCATGGCACCCTCTGCTGCCAGGCACAGTGGGATGGTCAGGAAGCTCAGGTAGTAGCCAGGGTGGATGCCATGCCAGTAGGCTGAGATCAGCATGGTCCAGGCGCTCCTGGGGGGGTGGGGGACACAGGGCTAGTTCTGAGGAGCCCTGAGCATCCCACTCCATGCATCAGCCCCATGGAGGCCTTGATCTGACACCTCTGCCCTGAGCTACCCCTTACAGTCCCTACCACTTGAGTCCTGAGATGCCTCATTTCTCCCACCCCAGCTCTCAGCACCCTCGGCTCCTGGTCCATATGTGGCATGTGACTGATTTACTGATGTGGCAGATCTGAGAGTCCCTGATCACTCACCCCTAATGTCCCTGATAGTCATCACAACCACCCCTGTCTCAGTGACCCTCCCCCAACTCCATGCCCCCAAGGCAGCCATCTTAACCTCCCAGAGACACCCGCCCCCACCATCAGTCCATAAGCCTCCCTACAAATACCTTTCCTTGGAGCTATTCACTCCTCCATGAAGTGACCCCCCCACAGCCTCTTCCCCCTCCCACCCCAAGATCCCTCTTCCCATAGGCTTTAGCCTCCCCACAACATGGCCCCCCAGTCCTGTGACCCCTACCCACCCCAGACTCACCGCAGCACATAGGACCCAAAGGGGGCACTCTTGTAGATGTACTGGGCCAGCCACCACTGCACCGTCATGTTCCAGTACCGCATCCCATCCTTGACACGCACGCAGAAGTCAGTGCCATGTGGGTCAATGTTTTTGATGGTCTCGTAGTCATACTCACAGGGTGCCCCATCCTCTGAGCTGGGGGAGGGGAACAGCTCAAGTCATGACAGCACCTCACTGAGGAGCTGGATCAGGGCTAGAATGCCCTGGAAGGGGAACAGTCCTTGCCCCTATCCCACTCCTCAAGCCAACCAGAGCCTCGCCCTGGAGCTGGGTAAAGGTAGGCATCCCCTAGAGGGGAAAGGCCCCTGCCCCTCACCTCTCAGGGGGTGTGTAGTCGGTCGTGGGACCACTCCCAGAGCGGGCCCGGGCAGTAGTAGGGTAGGCACCAAAGGCAGCAGCAATGCAGGCGCACTCGGCACACAGCCAGGCCACGTAGAAGCGCATGCGGAAGACAAAGAAGACTGGCGTCATGTAGAAGAGGCGGAAGGGCAGGGACCGAGCCTCGAAGGCCTCGCTGCGAACATATTCCAGCGGGAACAGCTCTGACACCCCCAGGAAGAGCAGCCCAAACACTGGCACCAGACGTGCCTGTGCCAGCAGGGGGCGCCAGCTGGGGATGGCCATGGAGTTTGGCTGGTGCAGCCAGTCATAATGGGTCCTGTAACGGTAGAAAGGACCTGGGGGGAGGAGCACATGGGGTGGGAACAAGGGAGATTATCAGGAGGAGTGAGATGTGTTTAGTGGCAAGGGGGGTAGATTGTGGAGTAAGAAAGGAAAAAAATGGGAGGGGAAATGAGGAAAGGAGACAGTAGGAAAGAAGGAAAGAAATTGAGGGGAGAGAAAAAGAAAAAGGAAAGGAAGAGATGGGATGGACCATGTGGAAGAATCATAAAGAAATCAGGCTGGAAGGGACCTGCCTAAGGCAGGATCATGAGAGAGAAGAGACTGAATGTGGGGAAATGATCTCGTTAGCAGATGGAAGTTATTAGCTGTGTCAGTCTGAAGTGCGGCAGAAGGCAGGGTGGAAATGCACCTTACAGACTATTATTTAATTGTTCTGTAAGGTGTGTCTCTACCCTGCTTTCTGTCGTCTTAGTAGATGCCGTGCCCCTCCCTGAGCCTGGACAGAACCTAGGTGTCCTGGCTTCCAGCCCCCTGCTCTAACCCAAACCTCACTCCCCTCCCAAGCTGGGATGGACCCCAGGCATCCTGGCTCCCAGCCCACCACAGGATGCCCCTCGTACCAGTCATGAGTCCCACATAGCAGTAGCTGTAGCAGAGAATCTCCATCAGCCCTGGCTTGCTGGGGATCAGACCAATCACAGGGTTCTTGGAGAAAGATGTCACTTCCTGCTTCTTGGCCAGGCTGAACTCCTGCACTTCATGGGCCAAGCTCACCATCTGAGGCAACGGGAAAGAACCAGGGAGGAGGTGCCCGCCTAGACCCACCTGGTGCAGCAGCATGGACCCCCTAGGGGATGCCTTCCCCCACCCCCCCACCCACCTTGAGCGTGAGCAGCAGCTGTACAGCATTGGTGTAGGGCGTGGGGGTCGGCAGTCCAAAGACTGTCACCATCCGGAAGAAGAGCAGGTAGGAGAAGGTCCAGCCCAGCGTCAGGTAGTGGCATGACCTGGGGATGGAGGTGATGGGGGGTGGTCACCCCAGTTACTGCCCATACCCCCAGAACCTCTCACTCCTGCCATCCTCTCCCCCACCCCACAACCCCCTGCTTTCTTCCCATGGCCTCCAGCCACGCCCAGGCCATCTCGCCCCTCCCAGGATCCTCTGCTTTACCCACACTCCTGGACTTTGCTGGTTGCCCCATGGGGCAGGGGAAGGGGGGCTAACAAAAGGAAGCTGTTTCACAGCGGGCAATTCAAGTGTGGAACTCGTTGCCACCAGAGGTGGTGGAAGCTGGCAGCTGAGCCAGATTCAGAAAGGGACTGAACCAACCCTTGGAGGAAAGGGGCATGGATAGCAATTGAGTACAGGAGTGAGGGGCACAGCCCTCGAATCAGAACCTCCTGAACCTTAAATGCTGGAGGCTGCAAGTGAGAGAGGAACAGTGGGAAAAACCTTGGTCATGTCGTGTCCACTCTCCCTTCCAGCACTCGCTCTCTGCCCCTGTGTGACACAGGCCTATCTGATGTGCCAGGGAACATGGGCCTAAGCCCACCAAGGCAAACTATAAGTCTCCCTTGTGAAAGGGAGGCCACTACAGGCACACCAACCGACTCCTTGGGACAAATGGAAAACGAAAGATGGGAGCAAGGTCACATTAATAACACATGCCTCAAGGGGGGGACGGGGACGCTGAGCAGACCACACCAGAGTGCCCACTGGCCCTTGAACGAGTCCGAGGAGCCACTACACAATGCCCAGTGATACTCTGCCCAGAAATGTGAGCGCTGTGATACAGGCTGGGCAATATGGACCCGTGGGGTGACCCTGTCACTGGCAGCTAAGATAGGTCTGTGTAGAACCAGCCCTGACACGTCCCACCCCAGATGCGGCTACGTCTCAGCCCCAGACCATCAGTGGTAGGTCTCATGTTCTTACTTCTCCCCCCTCCTGCTGCTGTGGGCTGGCCTTCACCCCTGTTCCTGTTTTCTTCCCTATTTGGCCCCAGTTATCACTTGACTTAGTGCCCTCAGACTAAGCGGGACTTATAGTTTTACTTGGTGGGCATTGCCCATGTTTCCTGTGCACATCAGATGGCCTGCCGCCATGGGGGTCGGGGGTTTCTCAGAACCAGAGTGTCAGCTGCAGCCAGGGCTGGGGACTGGGACTGGGCTGGGCCCCTGGTCCTGCTGCACTTGAAACCTGGTGGTTCTCAGCCAGAGGGTCGTGCCGTCCACTCAGGGCTACTGTAGTTGGCATCAGGAAGGGGTTTTACCCCCGATGAGCTTGGTTTGGGGGTGGGGGGGGGTGGGGGTGAGCGTTGCCTTCCTCTGCAACAGGGGTGGCTGCTTCTACCGGGGATCTCCTGAGTGTTTACTAACACCCTGAATACTAATGAGCTGAACAGCAGCCACAATGTTGTGACAGCAGCCAGGGTGGGGGGAAGGACAACTTCCTCACGCCCCGCACCCGCGCGCACTGGCCCTCAGGAAGTTTTAGCAACCGCGGTTCTGACTTGGCTCCGGCCGGACGTGGCACCGCGCCTGCGCGGGGGCGGGCGCTGCCTGCTCGCTCCCAGGCCAGTTTCAGCTCTAGCCGTTCCGGCGAGCACGGGACGGGGGCGCGCCGGAGAGGGGCTCGCACTGCTCGGAGGAGGTTTCTCCGCGGCTTTTGAGAGGCTTGTTACTACATCAAGTACTTGTTATGGGGGGAGTAACTCCCCGAGGGCTTGAGGAGGCGGAGGAGCCGCGGGCAGGGGGAGGGAAGCAGGGAAGCAACCCCGCCCCGATCAGGCCACAACCGCAGGCCCGGGCCCAGCGCTAGCCCCGCT